TATTGGAAGGTTAATGTTTATCATATGTATAAGAATGAAAATTACTTAACCGATTATTTAGCCAAAACCCACATAAGAATGAAAATTACTTAACCGATTATTTAGCCAAAACCCACATAGTTTTGATACTTCCTTTTGGATCATTGATCAATCTTTTCCTCTTTTCTAAGAGATGGAAAGTGCGAAGAAACTTAGATTTGTGCTACTGTTTTGTTTTGTTTTATTATTCTAGCGTGTATCCAAATTTTTTTATTCAAAAAAATTATTTTAGTGCTTATTATCATGCTCAAATCCTGGTTATCTCATAAAAAGGACAGAAAAAGGAGTTGCCACCAAAATTTTAAAAAGTTAATTTTGAAAACCTAAAAAAAGATGTGGTTTATGAAAACCGGATAGGGTTTGGAAGTCGATTGTGTGTAGGGAAGGTGTTAGATACTCGTTCAAAAGAACGATTACCTTAAGTCAACTACTCAAAATTAATATGACGTTTTTATTATGTTTCAATTACCCTAAAAAAATAAAGATAGAAACAAAGAAAATTTTTTATTTACAAAATGGAAAAAAATTATTTACAAAGCTAGACTTGACTTAGGATAAAAACCTAGGGTATATGTAACCTTTAGAGGGATCAAAACACACTTAGTTTGGGGGATAAAAATGTGTGTCATTTTATTGGTATTTTTTAGAAAAGATTTATTCAATTAAAAAAAAATTTTTGTGGGTTGGTATTTTTTAATATATGAAAACAATTGTTGTATTTTTATTTAGAAAATATTTTTTTGAAATAAATTTTGGATTACCTTCCCTAGGGAGGTTCCCATAGCCTCACACGGGAGAATAATCGTTCGAGTCTGCGGATATTCTAAAAACCTCACATAGCCCTAAAAAACATTTTGAGATTATATATATATGTATTTAAAAAAATATTTTTATTTATTTATTTATAAACATGGAGCCAAAATTATTTTCTTTCTTTCTATTTCAAAAAGAAAATTTTGCACAACCACATTGGTATTCCAGTGGAGACTCTCACAGTCTCACACTGTTTAACAATGAACCCAGATACCTGCAGAGGTTCTGAAAACCTCACACGGCATAGATTTTAGAAAGGAAACACTTTTGAAATAAAAAGAAAGAAAACCCATAAATAATTCATCATGAAACTCAAGTTAAGCATAGTAGATAGTAATAAAAATTCATACTTGATGTTCCACATATCAATTGGCTAAAAACAAGAATACATTATATAACAAGCTAATAATAAAAAAACTATATACATATATTAGCAAAATGACATGGACAAAATAAAATAAATAAGATAAAAAAAGAAGAAAGTGAGAATAATTGAAATCATGTATGATTCAACCATCTAGCTATTACTATTCAAGCTCAAAAGTAATCACAAGAACATAGGCTTTTCTTAGGTAGAAGAAAAAAGAAGATGAACAGTGGGCTTTCCTATAGTTAGGCCCCATCTCTCTTTCCTAATCTAACTCATTGTCACAAAATAAAATGATAGAAAAGTTCACTATCTTGCTTCTTTTTTATCAAAAAATTCTGAGTATCTTCCTCTAATCCTTACTCTCTTATCTATAAGCTCCACTTAGGGGTTTTTTTTTTTTTTTTAATTTTCTTCAATTATGACTCATAATATAACTTCCTATTTAAGCACCAAATCATTATTAAATTGTGATTTTTTATTTTCATTTTCACCTTTTCCTCTTGCTTGACAATAAGGGTGTTCAATTTGTCCTGTCCCAGTCGTCTTGTCTCGGTCTCGGTAAGTTCAGGATGGGACAAAAAAAATTTCAGGACAGGACAAAATGGGAACAGTGACCGGGAGGGGACAGGACACAGGACGGGGTTGTCCCGTCTCGTCCCGTCCCGGGATATTTTTTTTATATTTAAGTTACTTATTAATAATAATAATTATTTTTATAGTGATTTTTAGCTCTTAAGTTATAGTATTATCTTAACAAAATCTCATTTCTCAATAAAATAATTCATAAAGACATTATATAGTGTTTTCTTTCCTGTGTTTTTTTATAGTATTATTTTTACATCTTTTTTATACTATATAATTGAGCTCTACATAATTTTTTTATGATGTTTTTATCTTTAGAAGCCCAATGTAAAATAAGCATTATAACATAAAAAAAATTCATATAAAAAATTATAGTTTTTTTTTAAAAAAAGGGGGAAGCAGGACGTCCCTGTCCTGTCCCGGTTCGTCTTGATCCTGACGGGACCTGATAGAACCAGGATGGGACGGGACACGGGACAAAATCCCTATCCCATTCCTATTCACCAGGACAGGACCGAGATAGGCCTGTCTCGGTCCGGTCCCGTCCTCCTATGAACACCCCTACTTGACAGTGTGGGAATCCTAAGTATGTCATTTCACTAAGCAATACTTCCTGCACTGAAAAGGGGGAAGCATCCAACTCCATGCCTCCCTCCCTATTGAATGGAGTTGCCCTATTATTAAAATTTTCTGAAATAAGTCCTTCTCTAACATGTGTTTAGAGCTTTTTAGTGGTTGTACTATTGTGATTATTAAAGTAAATTTTGAAAAAGGATTTAGAGTGCAAGTAACCATAGAATTTTAGGTAAACTAGAATACTTAATTGGGAAAAATTGCAAATAAAGACCTTCCAATATATAAAATAGCTATTAGGGACCCTGAATTTGGAAAATAGCTTCAAAGGACGGGGTCCCAAATTGCAAATATGAAATGATGGTGGAATGTCCAAAATGTCTTTCTGTTTTTTTCTCTTTCTTCCTCTCCAGATCTTCTTCCTGATCTTTCCTCCTCCTTTTCCTGTCTCTCTTCGTTCTCTCTTTCCTCTCCAAATTTCCTTCCATCTCCTCACTCCTTCCCAAAGTGTATGGAACTCATAATGTCCTTCGGTAGTCCTCTCTTCATTGTCATCCCCCGTCACTTTCTTTTTATCTTACTTAGCTGCTCTTTCGTCGATAATGAAGTCTCTTCCATCATTCTCTCTGTTGCTGTGGAAGGATAGGAGAGTCGGGGAGTTTGAGGGAGAGTGACAGTCATTTGCAATTCTGGGAGTTCGAGGGAGAGTGATAGTCATTTACAATGCTTGTAATGTTTGCTTACAATGTGTGCGAAGATTGCTTGGTGCTAAGACAATGCCCAACAAATCTGGATTTTTATTCTTCATTTCTATTTTGATTTTCAGCTATGTTCATAATTGAAAATAACAAGTTTGATAAGTTGTTGAAAATAACAAGTTGACAAGTTCTGATACCCACTTCACGACAAGTTCAGTAATGCGAATAATAAGTTTAGCAAGGCAAATAACAACTTCTGATAAGCAATTCATAGAAATTCGAGTTTTTGTGTTAAAATGACAACATTTTCAGATTTCTTTAGCAGATGACAAGTTCTGATACATAATCCATGACAAGTTCAATAAGGCGAATGACAAGTTTAGTAAGGCGAATGACAGCTTCGAATAAGCAATTCATAGGAATTTGAGTTTTTGTGTTAAAATGACAGGTTCCCATTAGGTTTTCATACTTTCTCTGTTAAAATGACTGAATTTCCACATTGATTTATGAAATGACAGATTCACAATAGAAAATGACAAATTCCCATAAGATTTTCATACATTTTCATACTTTTTTTTTGCTGGAATTACAGTTTGTACATTTCTGACATCAACCACTTCTGATAAACACGAAATGACAAGTTCACAATGAAAAATGCCAAGTTAAGTATGGTAAATGACAAGTTCCCATAACATTTTCATACTTTTTCTATTGGAATTACAATTTGCACATTTCTGATAGCACCCACTTCTAATAATTGCAAACAAGCTTTAAATTGTGGAAATCAAGTATGATGTTGTATTTCGGTGGATAAATCAATCAAGGTGTGGGATGTGAGGAACAAACGAGCCCTAAATATAGTGCTAAACAAATAAAGTTCTTGTCTTATATGTAGAATTTGATGGTTTCTTGTTCATATGATATGAAAATTTACATTTGGGATTTCATGGTTGAGGATGCACTTATGAGTGGATATGATCATCATAGTGCATTTGCCGCTGGTGTTGATATGAGCATGCTTCTTGAATGGCTTATGAGAGTTCTGGTGCTATAGTTTTATACATTAGGAGGAAATGAAAGGTGAAGTTGATGATGAAAGATGTTAATGAGAAGTGATTGCTGTCAGAAATCTGCACATTGTTATTTCAGCAGAGAAATTTACAATTGTATGAAAACGTGATGGAAACTTGTCATTTTACATACTTAACTTGTCATTCGCTATTATGGACTTGTAATTTACTATTTATCAGAAGTGTTTGCTGTCAAAAATCTGAACATTATTATTTTAATAGAGAAATTTACAATTGTATGGAAACGTTATGGGAACTTATCATTTTACATACTTAACTTGTCATTCGCTATTGTGAACTTATCATTTATTGTTTATCAAAAGTGGTTGCTATCAGCAATGTGCAAATTGTAATCCCAGCAGAAAATGTATGAAAATGTATAAAAATGTTATGGGAACTTTTCATTTGCCATACTTAGTTTTAAGATAAAAAATAAAAAGTGAATAAATTTTTAAATATAATAGAAGAAAATAAATATAGAGAGAAAAAAAGAGGAGATGCAATCATAAAAATCTTGTTTTTTCCCCAAATCTCTCCATATATGGAGAGAAAATTTAGAGAGAAAATGAGATATGGAGTCTATTTTATTTTCTCCTCCACTTTTCTTTCCTCTCACATTTTCTTCCTTGTCCAAACAAGAAAAAACTTGTTTCTCTTCATGTTTTTCTCTATAGTATTCTCCCCGCTCTAATTTTCTTTCAATCCAAGCAAGTGGCAATGATTGGGGGCAGACGATAAGAGGAGAGTAGCCGCCTCCTTATAGATAGGATGAAAGGGATGTGGGTGGTAGATATTCATAGATGTTTATTTCACTCTGTCACCGGAAGACGCCTTTTAGACGGATTCAAGTCTTCTGGTGATAACCAGTGAACCACAATATGTCTGGAAATGCTGCTTCATCAATTTTTCCTCCTTCAAACCCCAAAAATATTCCCACATCCAATTCGGATCGACAATGTGCAGATTATCATCCTTCTCCTTGGAATGATTATTTCCTTCAATACGCTTCTGATTCTTTGGTATCTACATTTCTTACTTTTCTTTGCCCTCCCTCCAGTGATAATCAAGTTCAAACTATCACTGCGTTCTTTTCATTTTGATTTATGATCCGATATTTCTACATATTTTAGTGCTGAGTGTTAGTACTGAATGTATGTCGTCTGATGCAGTCTTTTACATTTGCAAGGGAAAAAAGTTGTTAATTGCATAATTTGAATTATATCGATTTGGATTTGATGCTCGCTTCAGGAACACATTAAGGCTAATTTTAGCAGTATTCAAATGCTTGATTTGCTTCGGATTGGGTTTGAGTATTAGGAAGTGCCTGGATAAGCTTCTTGGAAGTGATTTTATAGTGTATGAGATAAGTGTGTAAGAAAAATATTATTTTTTATTTTATTTTATTGATTTTAAGGGTTGTCAAACTCCCCCTAACCAGATCGAACTAAACCAATCGATTTAGCCCAAGTAGGAACCCTAATGAGTTCTTAGTGAAACCTTTTCGTCTTGTTTTGTTTCTTGTTCTGATTAATTCAGGATGAGTTTGTTTAAATCATGCCAAAAAGAGTATTTAAATAATTATCAGTAACTTTTTTTCTTCTTATAATATTTTCGAAACCATGCAATGTGTTATCTAATTATTAAACACTTTTGTAGTGTTTATAGTCTAGAAATAGTTAATATAACGGCAAGTTGTTTAAAATTATATGCAGGAAATTGATGATGAAATGAAGAGAAGCATTGAAACATTGAAAGAAGAAGTGAGGAAGATGCTTGTCTCTATCATGGGGAAGCCCTTAATGAAAGCTGAAATGGTTGATTCAATTCAACGTTTGGGGTTGTCTTATCATTTTGAAGCTGAGATTGATGAAGTGTTGAAGCAAATTCACAATGATTCTGTTGAAAATAATGAAATAACTCATATTGAAGATCTCCATTCTGTTGCTCTGCTCTTCAGGTTATTGAGGCAACATGGATATCCTACTTCAGCTGGTACATATGTGATTACACATGGTTCTTAAGTTCTTCAATTTGTTTTGGGATTTGATTCCCATGTTAAAAAAATATTCGTCAATCTTTTTGTTTGTCATGTTATTGAATAAATATATCGTAGCATGTGAAATAAACAGATCTAGTCAAATAGTTCATTAAGATTCTTTGAACAGTTTCGCATCGAGGTAGGCGTACAATTAAAATTTTAAATGTTTTATACTTAATTAATACATTCATACAGATTTTAGAGCATATATTATTTATAAGTTATGAATAATGTGACTAACCTCAAAATCCATATGACAAATGTAATTCAGTTGGTTTTTTGGCAAATAAAAAGGGTTTCTTTAATTTTCTCTTTTCACAAATAAAAATAGTAATACAGGCTTTTTTTTCCTACAAAAACTGGCTGCTTTTCTTTTTCTTTTAACTGATACACACAAATCTTCATCACCAGATGTGTTCAACAAGTTCAAGGATGAGAAAGGAAACTTTAGCGAAACACTTACTTCAGATGTTGAAGGAATGATAAGTTTATATGAGGCCTCTCATCTGAGTATTCATGGAGAAGACATTTTAGATAAAGCACTCGCTTTCACCACCAACCATCTCCAATCCATCACCGCTGAATCAAACCCTTTTGTTGCAGCAAAACTAAATCATGTCTTGAACCAATGTCCATATAGGGGAATACCAAGGCTAGAGGCAAGAAAGTACATCTCAATCTACCACCTTCACCCTTCCCATAACGAAGTCCTTTTGACCTTAGCAAAACTAGACTTCAACGCACTCCAAAAGCTTCATCAAAAAGAAATTGGCAACATTTGCAAGTAAGTTCTCCAGCCTTTGGGAAACAAAAGGAAGAAATATAAACATTATAGTTGTGATATATTAATTATACATATATACTTTCCTTTTTGCAGATGGTGGAACAGTTTGGATGTGCCAAGAAATCTATCATATGCAAGAGGCCGGATTGTGGAAAGTTTCTTTTGGGGTCTTGTGGTTATTTTCGAGCCTCAATACTCCAAAGGCAGAAGCGTCTTGGCCAAAGAAATTAGCTTCTTAACTCTCATTGATGATACATACGATGTTTATGGCACCCTTGATGAACTAGAACTCTTCACTGCCTCGATTGAGAGGTTTATAATTAGCATAATCTATTCATTACTACCTCATATCTTTAATATGAGAGTTATGTAACTAATCTGCAGGTATTAAAGAAGTTAGTTATTTATAACAAATAAATATTTACTTTCCTAAAATATTTTTATTAATTATATGCATTAGAACTACTTTTTGATAAAAACCTTTTTACATGTGCAATCAAATGGGATGTAGTAGACAAAAATTATAAACTTGGAGGATAACCACTTATCTAACTCTCATATTAAGAATAAAAGGTAGTGTTATTTTTGGAACATGTTTGTTGAACTTTGAACTTAGGCCATGTTTCTCTCTCTCTTTCTCTCCTTTCATCTAGTTTTAATTTACGTCTGGTGTTTAATGTTAAACTATTTTTTTTAAAATTTATTAATATGCTTACACAGATGGGATACTAGTTGCTTGGATGACCTCCCAGGATATATGAAGCTACTTTATAAGGAACTATTGAATCTGTTTGAAAAAATAGATGATGAGGACATGGGCAAAGAAGGAAGGTCACACAATGTTGACTATCTCATAAAAGATGTATCATCTTGTCCATATGATAAATTTCTTTATATTGCTAATTCTTTTAGACAATTTAATAAACAAGATATAACTATTTTTTCTTTTAACATAAAATACTGTTTTATATGCCAGTTTAAAAAGATTGTACAAGCTTACATGACAGAAACCAGATGGTTACAAAGAAACTATGTACCAACAACAGAGGAGTACTTAAAGATAGCCACAATAACTACTTGTTTTACATTCCTATCCATGTCATCTTTCATTTGTATGGGAGACATTGTAACTGAGGATGTTCTCAAATGGGTAGAGACCCACCCTAAGATTCTCAGAGCTGCTTCTATTATTGGCAGGCTCATGGATGACATCGTCTCTAACGAGGTATGTATGTATTACCTCTAGTTCTTCATATAAGATCTAACTGACTAATTTATGGATGTTAAAAAAGTTAAACAAATTACTTAATTATATAACATATGTTACATGATTTCTTTGAGACACATTTATGTGGATCATTAGATTACATATTCATGTATAAGTCAGACAAATTAGTTTAGAGAAAAATAATGAATATAAATACCTTAAAGTAATTTATTTAGTTTCTTTAATCTCTTTAAATTAGTTAATTGAGTCTTATATTAAAGATCAAAAGTAATATAACTTATCAACATATGCCAAATAAAAATCTTTCTCTCTTCAATAAAATTTCACCCTATAATCTAACCTACTCTTAATTAAAAATCTTTATGCTGGTGCAGTTTGAGCAGAAAAGAAAGCACATCGCCTCACTTTTGGAGTGCTATATGAAGGAACATGGAGTGTCAAGGCAGGAAGCCATAGATGAATTAAGGAAGATGCTTGAGAGAGCCTGGAAGGATATCAATGAGGAATGTCTTAGACCAACTCAAGTACCTATGCCCTTTCTTATGATACTTCTGAATCTTGCTCGTTTCATGGATGTGATGTACAAGGAAGCTGATAATTATACTCATGCTGGAGGAATCATGAAGGAGTTCATTACTCTACAACTTGTGGATCCTGTGCCAATATGAGCAACATATATATGCATATTGGGGCTTCTTTGCTAAAATGTGTCCCTTTATAACTTTGGCTTTATTCCATGGGTTAGGGTCTGAATTTACTTGGAAGTTTTCAGTTTTCACTGAGGAGCATTGAGCACTTAGAATTTTTTTGGATACAAGTTTGTCTCGAAAGTTTAAAATCCTAGTAATATTGTCTACCTCCTACCATTAAAAACAGTCAGTGTTAACATTTTAATGGTCAACATTAGTTTTTAATAGCAAGGGGTAATATTGCTATAATTTTAAACTTTTAAAGCAAATTTGTACCTAAAATTTTTTTCTAGTGCCTAATGCTTCTAAAGAAAAACTTTTGAAGTAAATTTGCGTCTTATCCTTTATTGAAGTACGGTATGAGGAATCATCAATAAAATGTGTGATGCATCGTGCTTGCTTAAATGCGTAGGTCATTATGTGCTTTTGCAGAATAAAATATGATGTCTTCTTGTGTTATTTGCCCCCAAAAAAAAAAAATTTCGGTCTCTCTTTTCCCTTCCTCTTCTATTTGTACTGATATGGTTTCCAGCATATGCTTTCATAAGTCATTGGATCTTATTATTAGAATTATGATAAATTCAAGAGCAAAAGAGTAAATAAAAGAAAATATTGGGCAAAGTATATAATTATTAAAAAAGCCGAAAGATTAGAAAGAGATTTTCAAGGCAGAATTGAGGCCTAGGAATTATATTTAAAATTTAAATGCCTCAAAATTAATTCCTCACGTGAAATTGTGTAGGGGTAGCATGAGGGAAGAATTCTTAAGCAAATGCAAATGGATGACTTGAGTTAGGAATTTAAGGTAAGGGGCTAGCTGTGAAGGGTTAATAATTGAGTATATAATGGAGAAGTTAATTATGCTTAGGAGATACATAAAAATTATGCATATTGATCTGCCTATACGTGTATGATTGATAAGCTGTGTGCTGTGCCCAAACCCCTCAAGCAAGAAAGTGCAAGAAAAGCTAGTAAAAAGAAGTGGGAAGATTGTGTAAGAGATAGCTTAGCATGAGTACATGTAATTATGTAAATCCCTTCTCCTAGTTATTGCCATGGCCTGCACTTCGTTGTTCAATTCAGTTATATGTAAAGTGTTGTTTTGCATGCTCGGTTTAACCATGCATTTACATGTTGAAATGTGATTTTTGCTGCTAAAATTCTCCCAAATCTTACCCTTTTTCTATTACGTATCAACATAGAATTTCATCCAGAGGAAAACGCAAGCTAGCGGAGGAGTAGGCTAAGTGAAGCACTAGAGAAGATTTAATCTGTTTATTAATATGCAAGTTGTTTTATCATGTGGGTTGTTGGATGTATATTTATTTAAGATTACGTGTAAGTGAATTTATGTTTGGTCTGCAATGACACTCCATAAGGAGGGAGAAAAGAATGCCCAAGGTAAGTGCTATGCCCAAGCGCTATGCCATAAGCACAGCGAGAATGTGTAAAATAGGCAGTTAACCAGCTAGAAGATATTATGGCATTTAGACCTATAATTTTAACAGCTTACTTGTAACTTGAGAAGACACTATGAGGTTTATTGGTATGCTTTAATTTTAACAGCTTACTTGTAACTTGAGAAGACACTATGAGGTTTATTGGTATGCTTTCTGACCAAAAAAAAAAAAAGCAATCTAACAACTTTTTTAGTCTGGGTGAAAAAGTATGGAACATCCTATGTAAACGACAGGAAGGAGTAGCCAATATCACAAGCTTATGCGATGTTTTTAAAAATTTTACTCCTAACCTAGTCCTCCCCATAGGGAAGGGAAACACAGACACACATCACATTGCCCACCTTGAGGCTAGAACCCAGAACCTCCCATTCAAGGCTAAAACAAGCTTATGCTTTGTTAACAGGAAGCTTCATGCAATTTATGGAACATGAAACATAAGTGTTAGCATCTAGATTTTAATTCGGTGTTTGAGCTGAGAAAGGCAAGACCAGCTAAATGATTAATCATTAACGTAGAAACTCAGAATCTTATACATAGTCTGGGCAACCTAGGAGCCACATACCATTAGTAAGAGTTTAATCTATCACAGAAAAGTGACATGACCAGAAAGGTTTCGTGAATTCATGTGTATTTGACCACAGCACCCATCAAAGCCAGCATCTCCTCATGCTTGGGTTGTGTTACTTTGAACTCGAAAGTCACCTGTGACAAGTTAGTGAACAAGTCCATCAACTATGAATCTCTTGTGTAAGTGAAAGAAAGCAGCTTCAATACTCGGGGAATAAAAACAGATCAGTAATGCAATGATGGATTCTTTTGGACAGGTGGACTTTAAATTTGGTTCATCTATTCAATGTCAACATGATATATAAAAGGAGAATTCTACAAATGGCCTATCATTTTCCCATATAGAATATTATAATAGAAAATAACAAACCTTATCCCACTAAGTAATGTCTTGTTGTACAGATTTAGTGACATCACTATGCTCTATCAGCAACTAATTGTACAAATATACTATTTACCATGAGATCTCATTTGAAAATTTCCTTAAATGTCTTTTTTGCCTCCCTCTATATCCTTTCATAGGGGTGAAAATTATCTATTCAACTCTCTTTACTGGCACCTCTTTTACCATTATTTACATATATGCAAATCACCTTAATCAATTTTCTACCTTTTCTCCTCTGTAGGCCCCATCCTAACTTTTTCTCATACACAATCATTTCAGATCTTGTCTTTTCTTGTAAGAACAAACATGCATCTTAGCATTTTTGCCTCTGCTTACCTTTTTTTTGCTATTGTTGTCTCTTCAACAGCCAACATTCATTACAATACAGTGTTGTACATCTTATAGCAGTTCAATAAAATTTCCCTTCAAGCTTAGTAGGAATTGATGCCTTTAAATTTGTTAAGTACTTTGTAGTCACACTATAATGCAAAAAAAGATCCAAAAATCATGAGTAGAATATTATAAGGCGCTTGAAAGCCATCTACTTGTTCATCCCCTCTCATTTGTCAAAAAATAGAACCCACATTAACTGATGAGCAGAAACCAGAGTTTCATTATTCTTCAGCTTTGGAACTAAGAGGTAAACCCCCTGGGGCTCATAGAAAACTTAGCTAACTCATTGGTCTTGCCCAATATCAAACTTGAGAGTCATCCAAAGGCAAGGCCATCTCCAATGGCAAAAGGCTCTCAACCTCCTGATCCTCGGTCACAAAGAACTTGGATCAAAAGTCTGGCAAAAGGGAGAGGAGCCTTGATGGGTTCAATTCAGTGATTTTGTGAATAAATGGAGTGAGGTTAGATTTTGGGTGAATGAGAGAGACGGATAGACTTGGCTTTCAAGTGTTCCACAAATGATTTTTGGATATCATTTGACATTCTGATATCCTACAAGATAAATGATAAGCAAGTGCCATGATGTCAAATAAATGGTCGGATCAACGTTTTTCTTGCTAAGATATTCACAAATAGTTACCGAAGAGTTGAACAGAAACAATTTTAGATCATGGGCAGGTAAACTTAATTTTAAATCAACAGGACCATATTGAACTTCTTCCAAGCCAGAGGGACCAAAATTGTCCTTGAGTCCTTGGACCTCTTTCTAGGAATCTTTTAATTTATCCCTCAGCAAGAATATGTGTCTCACATTTCCATTTTTCAACATCATATAACAACAACAAGCCTTATCCTACTAGGTTATGAATCATGTTAAATAGTTAATAAATGAACACCAACTTGCACTTAATTTACATAGTTAGTTACTGATGGGATTAGCCATCCAAATCAGCCCACCCCCATCACTAAAGCCTACAGTAGAGAATCAAAAGCAGAAACAGAATTACTTCAATTTGGGAGTTTTAAGCTTGTCTACTAGGATTTCATCCTTCATTTGCATAGACGTTCCTACCACTACCCTAGTTTCCAATATTCAATTTATTTGTTATTTGGGCCTGAGGATCACTTGCATGGCAGGTTCAAAATACCCTTATTGCACATTCCTCATTACATTAATCAGTGGTAATTAATATTTAATACTCCCTCCGTTCCTTATTATAAGAGACATTTGATGCTTATGGCATGTTCCTATATATAAGAGACACTTACAAGTTGTGTCTACTTTTTTGTGTTGATTTACTATTTTACCCATATTTATTATCTTCAACTCACACTCTCTCTCCCTCCCACTTCTCTTTCTTTTAATAATTTAATTGTTCTTTCTCATGCTCTCTCTCCTTATTAATGAGGGCATTTTTAGAAAAAAATTATATTTTTTACACATTAATTGTTCTTAACTAATTTTAACTGTTTTTTTTGATCAACGTACTTCGGTTATTTGTCTCTTATAATAAGGAACGGAGGGAGTAGTTATGATTTTAGGTTTTCAGCTTTGGTTTTCTGGTTTTAGATCACATAAAATATTAGTATCCAAGAGTTTTCAATTAACATCACTCAAAGTCTCAAACTAAAGCACGTGTTTAGGCATAGTTTACAAGATGAAGTAAAAAGTAGATCAATACAGTTATTGAAAGAAGCCATTTAAGGATTGATTTGAATTGAGAACAAGAATCCACATTTTTCCGAATGCAACTAATAACCATCAATCAGCTATGTGGAAAGGATAATCTTATCAAAGAAAATAAATGTCCTAAAAAAAAATGATTTTCCACAAACTAGTGCATCCTTCTAAAGTTTAAGGTGGTTACAGATATAAAACGTATTCTCACCTCTTTGAAGATACTGCTATGTGAAATTTGCACAAAACCCTACGCAAAGCCAATAAGGTTAGTCAATCTTAGAGAATTAAACAGATATTTGTAGCCACAAAAAAATCAGACACCAGCTTTTTAATTCTGGGCAAAAAAAAGTGTCTACCCATAAAACCCAGTACATAATCAATCATGAACATATAGGAAGACAAATATATTTCAGACCAAATCCTTGGAAAGAGGGAGTGATCATTGAAAAGTATATATTCAAATAAAGTATGTCCCTTAAATTACATGAAAAATTAATAATAATTTGTCCAATCAAAGCATTAAATTGTGGGATAACCATGCAGATAAATTATATCCCTGGTTCTAAGACCTACAGTTTGTCTAGCAAACAACGAACAAAAAAGGGGAAGCAAACAAACCAATTTTTGGAACATGTTAAGGGATGCGGCATTTGATTCGCCAATTTTAGCCCGGAAGATGTTGATCCCTAACTTCTCAATTGCAAAGGCCATCATCATTAGAACAGTTTCCTTTCCAAGTCCTTTACCACGGCTATGCTAGCAAAAACCAAAGCAACAGAAAATGAGAACAAGAAAATGTAATACCCCAAATTCCATGACTAACGTAATATGTCAACGCTCTAAAATGTTTCATGGTCTGGAAATTTTATGCTTGGCTCAATATAAGGTTATCACTGAACATAAATTCATAAGACCATATGCCCAATTTTGATCTATGTTCCCCAACCATTACCAATTACTATCTCCTCATCTTATTTTACATATCAAGTCATTAACTAGAGCTTAAAAATGGTAATGCAACAGCCCCATCTCAATTTTCTTAAATAAGCAGCAGCGTTACCTCTCTATCTCACGCTATCCACATCCCCACCCAAGCAATGGAAATTCACTTGCTATAGAAGGAAGGAAATATGGAACATAGACAACATGAAAACAGCTAAAAAGACGAGTATGCCTATTAACATATAAGAACAAATCCACGCAATTATGATAAGAAAGTCAAGCCAAGTACCTCTTTGGTTCAGCAATCATTATCTCAATCTCTGCCATCTGAGGATTATCCAAGTCATTCATGAATATATTTACATCACCAACCATAGCTGAAAATGGGGCATATTATTAACTCCCTTTAACAAAATATTTGGAGCTCTAAAAGGGCCGACTATATCTATACATGAGTCCAGCAAAATTTATAGCCTTTTATCTTTTAAAGACCATCAAGGATGTAATTGTATCCAATGTTTCTGGTAAATTTGAAACAATTCTGTACTTGCCAACTATTCTGCCAAATGATGTACACATGATGAATTTTTTTTGTGACCTCTGGAGTTTTGTTTAGCAACTAGTATCATATCTCCTCATAAAAACTCGTTAACAATCACTATTGTTTGTAAACAAGAATAAAATATGAGGTGTAGCTTCTGGAAAAATACCTGGAAGAGTAACCTACCATGAAAAAAATATAGAGTAGGAAAAATTCCGAAGTGTTTACTACAAGGCAGCTAACTCACTGTAACTCTATTTTATAATGTTACTGTTCACATACTCACAACATATCAATGGAACCTTGCATCATACATGCACCAGTAATGAATTTATCAGAGGCATTTTCAAATATAAAAAAATGAACAATATAAAACAACTAATGTCTGCAGAATTGTGCACCAAAAAAAAATGTGCAGAATTAATAAAAAATGAATAGATAAATCTTCCTAGTACGTTTTATGTTTTTCAAGAGACCGAAGGCTAATTGCTGCTTGCAAGAATTACACTGATTCAATTAATTTGGCTCTGCACTATTAAACAGCTCCAAGTCAAATGACATCTGACATTCTTTGCCATCCTTTCATTCCTTATTTCAAATTCTCTTCCCCTTCCTCCATTGCCTCAATAATTTCTTCTTAGCAACTGTTGCATATTAGTCAATGAGTAATAACCCATCAGTGCTTCATTACTTACTCAACTTCATGTTTTGCCAATACAAATGTTGTAAGGGATACAGATGGAAAATGAGGTAGCGATTTGAAAATATCTTGCCTTAGATTCGGACGCTCAGAGTGATGCATACATTAGTCATAGGACAGGCATTTGCAGATTGGATTGAATATCGTGGAAGTTGGTCAGAATATCTAACTCTCGTAACTTTTCATAAGGTTCAAGTTTGTGCGATCTCAGCCTACAGAATATTATGGGTGTCCCACCAACAAGAGCTCGACATTAAATAATTACTCCCTACAGTCTTTTTATAAGATTCAAATAACTAAATTTTATGATTCAAGAAATCTGTTAACATCAGTTTAAAAAAAAAAGTAATAAATATATAAGAAATGTATTGTTTTTTCCCCCAAATATGGCCTTATTTATAAGAGGGTAAGTGAGAGAGAGAAATAGTGAGAAAAAAGATGAAAACAATGCATGGAAAAAGATAATGAGAGAGAATAGAGGCAACTTTTTAAAGCATCATCTCTCTCCCCTCTTGTAAATATAATTCTCAGCAAACTTTTTAATTAATGCAATAGATAAAATTAATTAGGGGTAAACTTGATAAACATTCAATGTTCAAACAATCCCAAGCTGCATCTTATAAAAAGGAGCGGATCAACTAAAAAATTTGGATCTTATATAAGCGAGTAATCTGGAAGAGGCAACTCATAGTGCAACTAACTACAGGATGCGGAACTCCTTAATAGGTGGTATGTCAAAGCGCCAACAGTTACTACTGGAGGAAATACCTACTCTATTGAGAATACCGTAACGAATCATGTGCAGAGGGGTGCATGTCATTCTGATGGAGATTGAATGCCTATGCTGCACATCTCTTTGAAGAATCCATGTGGAAGAGGCAGAAATTTATTAAATAAAAGTGGAAGTCTGCACGTTCAAATTGAGTCGTATAAGTCCAATGCAGTTACTGATGATTCGTTTAGCTGTCCCCAAGTCTCTTATCTCTGACATACCTGGTTGAACAGTTCCCAAAACAGGATAATGAGAGGACAGCCTTATCATTAACCCCAGAGTAATGAATATTGGAATGCAACTGCACCCAGGCATCACGTCCAACTGCTCGAATTTCATCAGATTTTTAACACACTAATTCTTGTCAGTGTGAACAAGTGACAAATTGTCAAGGTTAACGAAGATAGCTCTGTCATATGTCCTACAACGATAGCTGGCACAGGTGTCTGAATCACCGTGGTAGAAATGTTAAAGATTATTATGCTTCAATGTCCTCATCTTGGCTATGAACACAGCTATTCTGATGTCTCTTGAACTACATTTGAATAACATAATTGTAGAATCTGACTGTCATTCAATGGTTAAAGCCGTTAAAGGAGATCATATTGCTACAGAATGGAGCAGTACCGCTTTGCTTGAGGATATTTCCTCTCTTAATAGTAATTTTATTAATATTTCTTTTTGCTTGGGTCAGTAATCATCCTAAATTAGCTGTAGATTGGTTAGCCAATAATGCCACAAAGGATGTGCTTATTTAGCTGGGTTTTATCATCCTCGTTCTCTTTATAAAATATTTTATCACTGGACTCTCTGAGTGTTCAACGTTGCGTTTGTTAAATCTGCATACTGGCAGATTGGTGTGTGCTCTTAACTGCTTTATTTGCAATGAACATGTATCAGCACTAAAAGAAATTGCCACAATAATCTCATAAAAACATCAATAAAGTACCTATTTATAGACCTATACAAAGATCATAACAAATTAGTTGCTTGAAACAAGGTCGATACTCTGCAATATATTCTGGTATGCATAATATGAGCAGTACACACAGATTAAAGAAATGATATACTCTATTAAGCATTTAGGCAGTAAAAATTAAAATGGAATAGGAGAAAGATTGGCTGAAACATGTAATCCAAGGAACATCATTACTACAGATGAAGAAGCATGAAAAGAATAATAGCCATCAAGTGAAGAACTTCTCTTTATTCAATCAAAAGCAAATCCAGAGTTACAAGCATGAAATTCTATTCCCCTTCTTTCTCTTAATGTTTATCTCAACCAAAGAGAAGTTCAAAATTATGAAGGCTGAAAATTTAAGGTACCTTCAACATGGGGCTCTCCATGTGTAAACTCTCCAACAACCAGGTCCTTATCCAATACAATGAAGGTCTCCTCTGCACAATAAAACAATCCATAACGATCCTTAGGACATCAAGGTTCAAAAACTCCTCTACCTGATGACAATGCTTAGAAATAAAGCCAATTTCCATACTGTTCACGCAAGTTGCAAAAAAATTTCCCCGAAAAATTGAAATAAGAAAGGGAAAAAAAAAAGAAAAAGGAAAGACACGAAAACCCAGTACACAAACTCTCTCTTTCACAAATGTACCCAAGATGGGATAGAATATCCACAAAGAGGTCAGCTCTGCAAAAGCCGCCCACAATCTTCTCAGTAAATTAAAACTCAGATATAAATGGGAAGAGAGAAAGGAGAAAAAGAATAACTGTCAGGGTCTTGAGACCATGAAAGCTGCATCTGGTACTCCTGATCGAGTGTAAGAGGCTCAGACCCTGTAGCTTCAAGAAGAGACGGTTCTTGCATCCACTGGTGATACTTCGGCACGTGGGCTTCCATGTATCGAACCAATATCACTTTCTCTCCTTCTAAGCTCACTCTCTCCTTACTTCTCTCCTGCGTGAGGTTCAAGCTGCTCTCAAGCTCCGGAGCCATGGCCATGGTCGAACCAATTGGCAATGGCGAGCGTTCCCGAAAGGCGAAAGCTTTTTGAAAATCTAAATTCTTTGTTCGAAAAAACTAAATTCCTGAAGGAATAATGACAAAAACAGATGGTCATAAAAAAAAAAAAAAAAAAGAAGTGGTCATAAAAAAAAAGACAAAAACAGAAACTAAATTTTGTAAATACTAAACAAAGAATATCAACAAAAATTTATTATTATTTGTAAATTCAAACTTATCAATACCAAATAAAATTATGTTATCAAACCTGATTTGGAATTTACAATTTTCAGTTTCTTTTTCTATTCTTTTCATATTTATAAATGATTTTTAAAATATTTTATACAAATTAAAAAAATTTTAGATTTTATTAACTCTCAGTTCAACAACTTTTTTAATTTTATCCTTATTTAATTTAATATATACTATATCTCATATAAATAAAATCAAGATAATAATAAATAAAAAGTAAAATTGTATTAAAAACATGGGAGAATAACAGAAAAAGAAACTGGAAATTACAAATCCCAAATCAAGTTTGGTAACACAACTTTATTTGATATTAACAAGTCTGAATTTGCAAATGACAACAAATTTTTATTAACATTCCTTATTTGGTATTTACAAAATTCCAGTTTCTTTTTTGGTCATTTTCCCTAAAAAAATTTTCTCAGTATCTTATAAATAAGACAAAAAAAATCTTTTTTTAAATTATAAATAAGACCAGAAGATATTATCGTATCTACTTCAAATTCCATTTAGTCTTCTTGAGCCAAAAAAACCAATGAATTTTTCTCAATAAGAAAGTGAAAAAAAAAAACCTTTGCATAAACCAAACCAAAAAAAGCCAAAAGATATTAGACTATAGAGGTATTTGAATGAAAACCAAACTATGGTTTTAAAAATACTTTTACGATATATGAAATAAATATATAAAGAAGTTTGTCTCGTTTTGCAAAAAAGTGTTAATGTTACCAAATACCACTGTGGAGTTTTCAAAAAATTTATAAACATGCAAAATTTTTGTTCGATTAATATCTCCTCAAAAGCATTAAAAAGAAAATAAAATCATCCCAACAGTTTAAAAACTCATTAATAGTTAAAAATTAACTATCAATATTTTTAAAATGAAAAATTTATTTTTCCATTTATTTGATTTTTCATTTTCCAAAAATAGAAAACTAATATGCCAATCCATATACTTTCCTTCCCTTTTTAATTAGATCCTTCAACTTCTTTTTCTTTTTATAAACTCCTTGTTTCCGCTGTTTAAACCGTCTATCCTTGAATGTTAAAAGTGTTATAACACCATTTAAGTGAATCCACGTAGGATATGACCGGACTCTTTTTTACCAGACACGAAATTCTTAAGTTAAAGACGCAATTTGCAATAGCGTTATTATTTTGAGACTAATGCATTGTTTGGTTCGAAGGTTTTTAAAGGGAAAGGAGGGGAAGGGAAGGGAGGAGAAATTGTGTTTGGTTCAAAAAAATAGAGAGGAGGGGAGGAAAATTTTTTTGTCTTTTAGTGCTCCCCTCCTCTCCTTCTGCTCTCCTCCAAATTTGGGGTTTGTTGGAAGGGAGAAAACTATTGTATTTCATTCTAACTAAATTACCCACATTACCTTTTACATATACCAAGTTTACCCTTTTTATTAAAAAAACACTTTTTTACTTTTATTTGTTTTTAGTCACTATTCTTCTCCCATCGCTTGCTTGGCGTCTACTCCTCTAGCATGTCCGCTATTGGTATTGCCAATTGCTTTTACCAAGCCATGAGTGACACCTCAAACAGCCTTAAACCTGTTCAACTTTCTTCCTCCTTTACCCCTCAAAGACTTCCTTCCTTTGATTGCAAATTCCTTTCTAAAAAGATTGAAAATCTTGTTAAGATAGATTATCTTCCTGAAAATGCTAAAATTCAGGAAACAGATCTACCTCTTCTCAGTCATTATAACCTCTATCATCATTCCAATCGTGTCTGTAGAAATGTTAAAAATATGATCTCTATTAGATGACCTCATGTGAAATAAATTGTCCAGACTACTAGCCTAAAAAACTATGGTCTTCATGCCACCTCTTCTGAACAATATGTTACTATTGATATAGCCCAGCCTTTAATTGATGAATGGAAGGCTCAAGGTTATACCCATCTTCATGTTGGTGTTGTAAGTCTCATTCTTACGCTTCATGGGAGAAAAGGAATGCTAAAGTTGTTTTAGTTGATACTACCTATACTTCTTATAGTAATGCTCTGATTGGTGCCATCTTAACCACTCTTAGCGATAGTAATTTCATCCTTACCATGCTCCAAATTTCAACATAAAACTCTTAGATCCAACTTTAAAGGACAGATTCAAAGTCTAGGTCTAGATAGTTGGAGCAGATCAAGACCCGCAAGCAATCGCAGCCGCTCTTCATCATCAGATTATCTACAGACTCTAAAACCATTCTCTTGATCTCTATTTTCCAAACTCTACTAGAGATGCTCTTTATGTGGTTTCTGATATAGCTAATGAAGTTACTTCCATCATCCAGATTCCTCGACAGATCCCCAAAGAAGAACTTACTTAGTTGATGCCTCTTGAATGGATCACTAATTATGAAAGGCAATTTCATGGTGTCCAAAGGGATGTCCACACTTCGACTGTCCTAGACATAAAAAGGCTTCCAAATAGTCAAAACTGTGTTCTTAAAACTAGGCCAAGAAAGTCCTTCTACTCCTTCTAGACACATCTTATCAATTATCCCGGCCTATGTTCCATCCAAGCGAGACCCTCCAATTGCTTAGGTAGATCAAAACGCTAAACCATATCATGTGTCTCACATAAATGGTCATTTTATCTAGGATCATAAACTAGGAGAATATGATCCTGATTGTGAATGCGATACACTTTATTGATGGGAAGCATCAAATGATGAAGATGAACCTAGATGGTCTTATCCCATCAGATATGCAGCAAAGAAGAAAAAAGACAAGAATTCTCATACATCTCCTTATTCTCACAAAAATTACAGTCATCATGATGATGATGATGATCATGGTCCAAAACAACGAACTAGAAACTGGAAAGTTCCTATTCCTACTGTGTCTTCTAAAGAGTTATCATTGTATGATTTACTTAAAAAACCAGGCCATGAAGATCTCCTTCCTAAACAAAGGCCAAATCTAGTGATTCCTATTATCCTACAATCCATTTCGTGCATAGCAATGATGGACTCTTATAAGCAGGATTTTCCTCTACTTGAAAGAAGAACCAACAGAGAAACAAAGGTTTCAGCAAGAGCTTTTTAAGTCCCAATAGAAATTTCTCCTACTAGTGAAGCTAGACTCGTCTCACCTGCAGAAGAAGTTCTTAACTAGGAGACTCAAAATGCAATCAATTATAATAGAACCTTGACAAAGATTGACTCAAAGCTTGACTTGCTGACTCTCAAAACTATACTTTGACAAGTAGACTTGATCAAGTCTCTGATGAGGTCAAACAACTTTATATGACCTTGTCTTCTCAGGCTTATCAATTAGATGTATATTTGAAGTGATTTATCAAAAAAGGACATTTTGAATCGGAATTTACCAGAAAGGAGCAAGAACTGTCACAGATCTAAAAGGATTTACAAAGGATTGAGCTAGATATTGCAAAGGATCATTCTCAAACCATCTATGACCCTTATCTATCTTACCCTTCTAGTTTTCAAATTCCTACTTATCCAATATCACCTCTCTCTTATCCCAAAGAGTTTGATTACAGTAAGGTTTTCAAAATATCTTATTCCATTCTAAGACAATTGAGAAGGTCTTAACCAATTCTTCCACCAATGCAACCAAATCCTCTTCCTAGACCTCCAGTAAGACCACCTCATTTCGCTTCACCTGAAAAACCTTTTCGGCCATCACCCCTATACACTAAACCTGTTGAACCAATACCATCCTCTCAAGAAATTATAATCAGAACTCCATTATCATCTCCATCAAAATAGACTCATCCTCCAGACAGGGAAAAGAAAAAAAGAAGGTGTTGATCTAAATAAAACCATGGCCACTCTTCAATCCTTGAATAAAAATCAATCATCATCAATTGACAGTTTTGAAACTGAATCTAGCTTTTCTACGAAATATAATTTAAGCTCTGATTCTGAGACATATCATGTTGATATTTCTAGAGTAGCAATGGTTCAAACAGATCCTACAGTTGAAAATCCCTCTAAGAGAGAACCACTTGTCCCAAATACATTTGAGCCAAGAAGAGCAAATTACAAGCCAATTACAGGTCCATGGTTCAGTTTTGATGACGTTCCTCTAGAAAAATGGAGAGATAGACTTCATGAGTTTGGAGCATAGATTAACTTACAACTTGCCAGGCATGACACAAATCTTAAGGAAGTTCTCACAGAATTTCTCTCAATATTGATAGGAACATTAAGAGAATGGTTCTAAAGCCTCAGTGATTATCAAAAAATTGCAGCAGCTAGAGTCAATAATGCAAGAACTCTCTTAGGACTCATTCATAAAGAATTCATTGGTGATTTTCAGATCATTGATAAAAGGCATCGCTAAGAATACTTTGAAATGAAATGTTGTTCTTTAGATAAAAGAGACTTATAGAAGCATTTCCAAAGAATGTCTGAGAAATACTATATGCTAGGAGAAGCTAATGATGTCAACCTCAGGCATACTTTTATTGCCTCTCTTCTAGGTGAATTGCAGCCAGAGCTTCATAAAGCTATCAATGCACTCCATAGAAACATAACTGATATTTCTATAGGAGAAACCTACCAGGTAGCATTAGCAACTGTGGATAGCTCTATGAACAACAAAATTTTTTCAAAGAAATATTGAAAGGACAATCAAGACTGAAATCTACTTGCAAAAAACCTTATCTGAAGATAAAGTGCAAAGATCATAAAGATTACTCTTGTTCTACCAAGAAAAAATCTCATTATCATCACTTTAGATATCCAAAAGGCTCATATTCCAAAAGAAGATCTGGAAAGCCTTTTCTGAGATATTTTAAA